ATTGGGTTTGCCTGGGAAGACCAGGGACAGACAGAAGGGTGTTTTTTTCTCCTTCCAGTGTATATAACCCTGAGAAAAACCAGAAGATAAATTCCTCTTGTTTTCACAGAACTGTATTAAAGACCAACTGAATTAAAAGCAGGAGTTGCCTGTTGTTGTCCTCTCCCTCTGAAGGTGCTTTGAAGCCTATTTAAGGCTTCAAAGTATCCTGTGCCTCAAAGCATAAATCCGATACTCAAGTCAGTGTGGGACTGAAGCTTCCCTGTAGAAGAAAATGCCTCCTCCTCCTCTCTGCTCTTCCCCTTTGCCTGTTTCACTAGTGATCAAAAGGAACATGTCAGAGCCACAGGAGTGATGAAAGAGAATTGGTTTGATTGTTCAAGGCCTGGTCAGGTGAACCTGATGGATCCTGTGGTGACAGCAGGAGGGAAAGCTCATGGTGAAACAATCATTCAGCTGAAGTGTGGAGTTGGGAGCATGAAAAGCTCCTGATGCTGCAGCCTGTTCCTCCCAGCTGCTTCTCTAGCTCCATTGCTCCACCTCCTCGCAGCACTCCTGTTCCTTTGCATAGCTTTTACCTTAGGCCTTTTTGGACCTGTGTCATTGCTGATGTCATGTTCTGCTTGCTTTGAGTTGAACCCATTCCCTGAGAGGTGCCAGTGCAGGAACACAAGGTGGAGGAAGCAGGAAGAGGTGGTGGGTGGGTTCTGCCTGTCTCATGGAACTGCATCGTAATACAATCTCTTTGAAATGGCTGGACACAAAGTCATTAATCGAAGAAGCTTATTGTAAGAGACAAATCAAAATATCAGTAAAATAATATGCAGAGACTTTGGACAAGGACTTGCAGTGGTAGGACAAGAGGGAATGGGTCTGATCTGAAGGAGGAGAGATTTAGGTTAGATACTGAGAGGAAATTCCTCCCTGTGAGGTGCTGAGGCTCTGGCACAGGTTGCCCAGAGAAGCTGTGGCTGCTCCATCCCTGGGAGTGTTCCAGGCCAGGTTGGATGGGACTTGGAGCCACCTGGGCTAGTGAGTGGCATCCCTGCCCTTGGCAGGGGTGGAATGAGATGATCTTCAAGGGCCCTGCTAACCCAACCCATTCTGTGATCCTTTGGTAAGGTGAGGGATTGAGTGGAATCACTACCCCAGCCTGTCTTCCCCAACACACATTTCTCACCCCGCAGGAGGGAAGGACCCTTATCTTCCCAAGTGAAATGTGAGAGGTGCCCCCTCACCTCTGCACTGATGAGAAGAAGAAATTAGAAGTCCTAGGTGTCTAGTTTTCAGCCTGTACCACATTACAGAGCAGAATCATCAGTGTCTGGTGGTGTTACCATCAGAGACTGAAGGGTGTAAGCTCCAGCATGTGTTCTTACCCTGCTAGAGTAAGGAGTTGTGAAACATAAGGATCTGAGGCAAGAGCTCCAAAAATGCAGCAGCACATCTGTCCTGTTTTCTGCGAGCTGGAAGGACACTTTGCACAAGGGAACCATGGCCAAAAAGACAGGGAAAGGATAGAGAAATGCATAAGCAATGAAGGCATAATGCAGAGTCATAGAGAAATGCATAATAAAGGAGTGCATAATGTACATGATTACTGAAATAAAGCTGTGGGTGCAGCTCAAGTGCCTCTGGTGAGCATTCTGTTGTGGAGAGAATTAAGTGAGTAAACACCAGAAGAAATAAAGAGGACACAATTTTAATTCATTTCTAACATTTACCATTAAATCTCAGTATCATCAAGACTGTCAGACCAGCAGTTTTATTTTCACTGGGATTTCTTGCTGGTTATTGATGAATGGCAAATTGATTTAGTTCTCCTTGGTGAGAAGTGCCTAGTTTCCCTGAATCTCCCTTGACTTCTAGAGCCTGTGATTCCTTATTAAGCCACTTCTGAGCCCTATTTAGCTTCCCTTGCTCTGTGCTGTGGCTCTGCAGACAGAATGACTTACTGAAGTTCCTGGGATGCTGCACTTTCTCCTCTGGAATCCCACTGAACCTGCAAAGTCACATAAGTAATCCCCCACAAAGAATTCATTGCAAAAAGTGACATCTTTAGTTATCTACAATTGAAATGGAAATGTGTAAGTTTCTCTTGGTTTTTGGACATTTGGAGAATTTTGGTAATTCCTCCCTTAGCCCACCTGAAGAGGGAGAAGGGTAGAACCATAGACTTATGGAATCATCAGGGTTGGAGGAAATCTCTAAGGTCATCAAGTTCAACCATTCACCTGTCACTGCTGGAATCTCTAAACCCTAAACCAGATCTTCCAGTGCCACATCCAGACACCTCTGAAACACCTCCAGGGATGGTGACTCCACCACCTCCCTAGGCAATATCCCAGTGCCTCAACACCACAACAGGGAAAACATTTCTCCTCACATCCAGTCTGACTGAGGGTGCACTCAGTCCCCACATCCAAATCATCAACAGAGATGTTAAACTGGACTGGTAATGCTGTGACTTCCAAAATCATCTAATGATGTTAATTGCCTGCCAGATCTCTTTGCCAACCAGAATACTGTGGGAAAACAGGGAAGGGAACTCCTGGGAATTGCCCCAAACTCTCACAGCAGCCCCTGAGCACAGTTTTGCTGTACTTGTGTTCTAGCCCTGCATTTGGGCTAATTTCTAGTGGTGCTGTCACTTGATTTTTATATGGCGAACTCATTATCATCCCATATCAAACTGAATTTATAGCAGCTTGGAGGGTTGAAAGTCCTCCTCATCTGTAGCTAGATTAAATTGTCACCCAGTGCTGCAAATACATCCTGACCACACTTGAGGTAAGCCCAGGACCAGGAGTGATTAGTTGGGTTGACACCAGATAGCTTACATTGATTTATGTGCTCCAGATGGAGATTGCAGCAGACAGATGAAGCACTGGCTATGCTCTTTGCTCAAGTTCAAACTCACATCCTAAAGAGAACCTGAGATCTTGATCAGCTGCAAGGAAAAGTGGATAACAATGTCCTGTAATCTTCCTAGCATCACCCCTCAAGCTCTCACTGTCAGCAGAAGGACATGAATCTGAGTCATTGATGGTGCCAGATATTCCCCCTGAGCCTCCAGGAAGAGCCTCAGCAAGTGGCTGGAAATTTGGCACTTCTTCAGCTGAGAGTAAATTCCATCCCAGTAATTGCAGGGCTATTTATGCATTAAATTTAATTTAATGCATAAAAACAATTTAATGCATTAAAAAACGGAGAGAAAAGGCAAAATGGAGACTTTATCCACAGCTACCAGGTGCAGTGTCCCAGAGCCATTA